TATGGCATGGAAATTAGGAGGGAGAAGTCGGGTGAGATAGTGTTGTCGCAGCATAGGTATATTGTGCAGCTGTTGGAGCGTCATAGGATGATTGACGCCAAGCCGAGGTCTACCCCTTTGCCTCCGGGCTTTAGGTACACTCCTAAGGGGGACGGAGAGGAGCTGCTGGGCAATCCCACGGAGTATAGGGCTTTGGTGGGAGAATTGAACTATCTGGCGACGAACACGCGGCCTGACATTTCATATGCATTGGTCTGGTCTGGGTTGACACTACTGCGATTCGCGGTTTAAGGTCCTGAGTTCGATTCCTGGGGAGACCCCCGAATTAGTCGGGAGCGCGAGATTATGGCTAGCTGCTGAGATGTGGAGTTGAGGTCGCAGTTGATGGACCAGATTCGCACGCTGGATTGGTGGCGATTGCCGAACCCTCCGTCTCTTCGGTTGTTCGGGTGAATGGATGAGGAGGGGTCCTAGACGGCTGGACCCGCCGCCTTGGACTTACAGTTCGTATGGCGAAGTATAGTGTGGTAGTGGTGGATGGTGCTATAAGATGATAAATCGTAGAACTGACAATGTGATAAAAGCGGCCCAGAAGCCTCCTACTCTGTAACATAACACATATGCATTGAGCGTTTTGTCCCGGCATATGGCCGCACCTACGAAGACTGCCATGAACTTAGCAATCGGCGTTCTGCGTTACCTGGTGGGGACTCGCGAACTAGGATTGCGTTTTGGGGGTGTTGGCGACGTTGCTATGTTCGGGTACAGTGATTCGGACTGGGCAGGAGACCCAGTTACGCGGCGTTCTACGTCCGGTTACGTATTCACTCTTAATGGGGCTGCGATTAGCTGGAGCAGCCAACTTCAACGTACTGTGGCGGCTTCGTCGGTGGAGGCTGAGTACCAAGCTACAGCGGCGGCTGTTCGTGAGGCTTTGTGGCTTCGCAAGCTGATGGTTGATTTGGGCTTGCCTGAGAGCGCGGTGAAAATCCAGATAGACTCC